GTACCGGTCAATTGATGGATGCAGTAATTGCAGAATGGGAAGATATTCCCCAAGATACAATTAAAAATTTAATTTCCAGTATGCCGAGGCATATGAATGCAGTCATTAGAAGTAGAGTAGATCCATTAATTTTATTCTTTTTGATTTTTGTTCTTTTCATGTTTGACTCGTTTAAAAAAAAATTGTGTTTACTAAACAGATTACATGTGAGTTTACTAAACACTGTTTAGTAAACTCACATGTAATCTTAATATTAAATGTAATTAAATAAAGTAACTCGTTAATTTTTTTGTCATTTATCAAAGCGAGCAGAAATTATACAGTTATACAGATAACAAATAGTCCAAGATCTCAGAGCCCCCAGACCTACGTCATTTTAATACTGTTAATATTTTTTCTCGAGCTTTAAAGCGTCTGGGGGGTTTAGGCCCTTCGGATTGGTCTAGCTGCTTACAAAATATCCTAAAATAATCACCTAAATAATTTATAGAAAATTCAGGAGTACTACTATAACGTAGGTTCGGCCCTTTTTTCTCGTGCTTTAAAGCGTCTGGCGGAAGTTAGGCCCCCTGGAATGCGTCTGGCAATAATGAATGTTGGTTTTTAATAACATTGTGTAAAACATATATAAAAACCAGCAGTATTACTTTAACGTAGACAAATATTATTTTTTTGTATCTTTAGTGCCTGTTATCTGTAAATGGGCCACAATGTCAAGCTGGCAAGTACGCATACGTTTTTAACTTCATATTAAGACATTTATTGAAAAAAATCTATGAATCTTAGCAGTATTAAAATGACGTAGGTCTGGGGGCTCTGGGATCTTACTCTATAATGTATTTGATATAACAATGATTGTTTTAAATTATACAGTGTGAATCGGAAGGATCGCACTAAACTCTGCACTCTACACATAAAAATAATAATAAAAAACTCAACTGTTCTTATCCGATTCTTATTTCTTTTCTAGTTATAGCGAAATTAAAAAAAAAATTAAAAAATAAATTATTATCTAATGTTCTTTGAAAAACTATGGAAACAAAGTTTTTGTTTCCATAGTTATACATATTGTTTAGATTTAAAAGGCCTAACTGTCAGCGTCAGTGGTATTTTTGTAATTTTCCAGTTTAAATTTTTTTTAAATGACAAAAGTTTATTTAAATTTAGAGTATGCTAATATAGTTTTTGTTTATGGCTTTTGTAATGGCAATGCCACAGCTGCTGTAGAATAATATCGGCGACGTTTTCCACGTGAAAGGGCTCCTGACAAAAACGTGTTTATTCGAGTTTTTAACAAACTTTGCGAGACTGGAACTCTTCCAAGTGCTAAAATAACATCTGAAAAAGCTGATCGACAAACTTTAGAAGAAGTGGAAAATATTTTGGATCTAGTGGAAGAAGATGCAACGACCAGCACCAGAAGAATCGCTACTCAATTGGACATTTCACAAAAACGGGTAATACAGTGTATTAAATACACACACTTCACGAGCAAGGCTTATACCCATACAGGGGCGTGCTGGCTATATCAGACCGGCCCGGGAAATTCAGAAAAATCGGCCAACTACACACGAAAAATGGGGGGGTGAACAAAACCAAGTTAAAAAATTTCAAACATTTATTAATAATTAATAACATAAAGTATAAATTAAATTCTTGAAAAACAAACAGGCAACAAACACAACCAGACAATATTTTACACAATGCTAAAACATATAGAATTGCACTTAAAATAAAAACTAATACAAATTATCATCGCTCAGGAAACTTATAAACAATAAACAATCTCGAAAAAAGAAACAAAGCTGGCAGGCTGGCATGCATATTATGTGTAAAATAATTATGATATTTATACATAACTCAATTAAAAAAGTGTTTAATTGACCACGTGCTGCGGCATGCTGCCTACATAGCCCTCCGGCACACCGGCCCACTTAGCCCTCCGGACCACCGGGATTTCTCCCGGTGTCCCGGCGGCCCAGCACGCCCCTGTACCCATACCATTTACAAAGAGTACAGTTTCTATACCCGGAAGAATATGCTAAACGTGTGGAATTTTGTCGGTGGGTAACTAACAATCGTAGAGTTGTATCGCGTATACTTTTTACTAATACGCACAACTCTCGCGTATGGTCTGACGAAAATCCCCAAGCTATAGTCGAAACCAATTTTCAGCACAGGTTTTTAGTAAATGTGTGGTGTGCTATGATTGCTGGGTATTTAATTGGCCCTTTTATCATGGAGAATCGCCTTACAGGGGAACACTACCTTAATTTTTTAATAAATGAGTTGCCAGGATTACTAGAGAATGTCCCTTTAAACGTAAGAAGGCGAATGTACTATCAGCATGAGCCCCTGCACATTTCGCTCGTGAGGTCAAGCAACACTAGGATGAAATGTTTCCAGAGCGTTGGATTGGTCGCTGAGGTCCAATTATTTGGCCTCCAAGAAGTCCAGATCTAACACCACTAGATTTTTGTTTATGGGGTTGGTTTAAAACAGAAGTTTACAAAGTTAAAGTGAATAATCGAGAGGCACTAATTCAACGAATAATTAATATTGGCGCAGTTCTTAAAGAAAAACAAGAGTTAATAGGACAAGCAACAGGCGTTGTTCGCAGATGTAGCAGAGCATTTTTAGAACTCAATGGGGGTGTAACACCTTATAAAAAGTCATAACTATTAAACAAATGTTACCGTTTCATTTTATTTATTTTTTAATTACGCTATAACTTCAAAACAAATGACGAATAAGAACATTTGAATTTTTTAAAATTATTTTAATGTGTAGAATGCAGTCCTAGAGTTCTGTGCGATCCTTCCGATTCACCCTGTATAGTTACGCTATAAAACGGTGTATCTCCTTTAATAACAGAGATATTAAAGTAAACCAAAAAAGAAAATGTTTTCGAAGGATGGACCTACTGTCTAATGTCAACTGCTATGTTTCGGTTACTAGTATACTTCACAGGGTGATACGAATTTTCGAAAAAAAACATTACATTTTTATTACACCCGGTATAAATCAAAAATGAACTTTTTAACATAAAGAGCGAAAATTATGACATTCTCAATGAAACAACCTACAATATAAAAAAAAATAATTCAAATCGGATCATAAATTCAAAAAATGTGTCAAATTTATGATGTTGCGTTAATTTTGTCCAGGAGTTTATTTGTAAAGCCATTTTATTTAATAATACAAAAACGTTCCAAAAAAACTTTTAGGGATTTTTTTTTTAATAAATAAAAAATAAGCTGTTAAAGACCGTATTTTTGTTAGTATACCCTGAAAATTTTGTACAAATCAAACGAAAAGTAACGAAGATAAAGCGCTTCAAAGTCGGTAAAAATTACCCCTTTTTAATTATTTTGCTGAAAAGTGGTCATTTTTGACGACTTTGAAGCGCTGTATTTTCGTTACTGTTCGTTTGTTTTGCAAAACATTTTTAGGGTATACTAACAAAAAGACGGTCTTTCACAGCATATTCTTTATTTACTTCAAAAAAAAAATCCCTATAAAAGTTTTTCGAGCGTTTTTTATTATTAAATAAAAGGGGCTTTAAGAATATTTTCTCGAAAAACCCTTGAACAAACTGAGATATAAGTTAAAGTATTTTTATCCAAAATTTTATAAAGATTGGTAAAGGCGTTTTAGAGGTGGGTTTTTTACTTGTTATGCGTTAATATTGACGCGCAGTGTGGTTACTTATGGAATAAAATTCGTTATTCGATAAGAAAAGATTTGTATGAAAAACGATCTGACACGTAAACTTAAGTTTTTTAGTTCAAATCTTATAATTATAATTTTAATTCTTATTCTCCCACCATTTCCCCCCCGAGCTTAGTTACAGCACTTCACAGCAATGTTTAACATTTTATTTCATACTGTAATTTTATCAGCAATCTATTTATAAATCAAATAAAATGTTATAAATCATTTCTTTTAATGGTAAATTAACATACTATTAAGTAATATAAAAGTAAAATATTTTGTAATTTGTAAACTTTTTTTGTAATATGCGAATTGCGAAATACGAATATTCGCATTTCGCAACTCCTATTCGTATAGATGCGAACTATTTCAGGGACATTGTTTTCTTACTAGGCGATATTTGCCATGCTATTCTAGGTACTTAAATAGTAAAGTTAGTTTAAATGACTATAAAGGTAAAATAAGTAACATTAATGTACCTCAAAAAACTCTGTCCATTATAAAAAAACAAAAAAAACCTCAAACACTTATTTAAACAGTTTGAATAAAACTCAACAAAACAAACGAAATAAACATAAATGGAGTAGGTATGATAAGCAATTGCATTAATTTGCATGCAAAACGCATGCGCATCACGCAAAATTAGTCAAATTTTCGCAAAATATTGGATCAATCTCAGGATTCAAATCTTGCGAATTTGCAGGATACGTCGAAACGATTTTTCCGCCAAATATAATGCACCAATCAGACCATTTTTCGCATTTCGCAATTCGCATTTTGAATCTATATGAAATGGGCTTTATCTCATTCCAAATTTTTAATTATGCTGCTGAATATTTTGTTTTTGCTCATACATATTTAAATTAAAACAATTGTTTTAATAAAGTTCATTTGGTAGGTAGTTTTTTCTCCAGATTTTACAAAATAAAAATGTATACGTTTTTGTAATTTGCATTTAGATATTTTTTCTAGAAATATGGCAAAAAAACGATTTTATCTCTGATATTAATAAATAAGTTCAAGTAAAAAAATCGACGTTCGCAAATAAAATCTAAATTTGTATCAAAATTTAGTTAAGATAATTTTCCTAATAAAAGTATCATCTTTTTCCTAACTCATTTTTTTTTAGAAATTTTTCAAAACATTTTCTTTTAATTTCTAAAAAAATAATGAGTGGTTTAAAAAGACAATATTATTTGCGAACCTAGATATATTATTATTATTATTAGTTCTATAATAGTATTAATAATAATTAGTATTAGTATTAGTTATAATAATTGAAATACCTTGTCATGTCCATTGCAAGAGAAATTAACCAGGGTTTCCATGCCCTTGACCCAAATGTTCCCATAGATGCCAAATGCACCAATGGTTTGGCTATGTAAATTGTCTCAGCAATTATTTTTTTTCGCTTCAAAACTAAGTCTTCTGCCTCATCAACAACCTCAGCTTGTAAAGGCTTCCAATCTCTTGTTGATATGGGAGGTGAATTTTCTACCTTACGAACTACTCGTCCACTGTGTTTTAAAGTAAAAGTGGAATTTTCAAACTGCATAACATCATTAACTGGTTTGGTTCTATGTAAATTTTTTCTGTCCAATTGTGAAATCGGAGGCGTCTGTATGATTGCTTCTTTGTGATAATAAACAAGTATCAGCCTTGATATACATCTAAAAATCAAAAATATTTGTTTTTGCTGAGAGAGCAGTTTACATAAAAGTTGTTTGATTTTGTTCATATTTGGGTTTGTTACACCAAACTTTGCTAGAAATTTCTGGTGAACGACCATTATATAGTTCTTGTACGTACTGTGGATTTTCTTTTAACAACTCAAATTTTAATTATAATTTTTTTTTGATAACATTACATGATATATAGGATATGAGGCATAAATTTAATTTTGAAATATTTTAATTATTTTTGATCTTACATTTAAAAAGCATAATAAACATTATATTAATTATTTTTTTTTAAATAAGCTTAGTGTTAACTAATCGTCACCCTAATATAACAAGGTTGTATGTTAAAAAAAACCGAAAAATTTAAGTCTATGTTTCTACAGGATTATACGTGGCCTACGCTTCACATACCACTTAAAAATAATTCTATAGAATGTATATTCTATGTTTACATATATATAGAGTTATTTTCAAGTTGTATGTCAAGGGTGGATTACAAAAAACCTTGTAGAAGCATAAACTAAAATTTTTCGGTTTTTTAACATACAACCTTGTTATATTAGGGTGACGTAATGTTTATGGGTCAGAATTTCTCAAACGGGCCACCTGAATTAGGTCAAAATTAGTTTTTGTTTGTAGATACATTTTTTTGATAGTATTTTACATCACTAACACAAATCCTAAAGGATTTTGTAAAAAAAAAATTTTCAATTGACATATTCATGATATTAAAAGTCAAAGTTTTTAATAATTAAAAAATAAAAAAATTCATTATGGCTGAACTAATTATCCGATTCCAACGATATAACTAGCGTTGGAATCTTGTTTTGACATAGATTCTTTGTTATTTTTTTCAATTGTCCTATTTTCATTTAGGTCGATTTTTTTTTGTTTTTTTTATACCAAATTCGGAAATAATTGCCTTCTGCGCCAGCTATCGACTCGAGAAAAAAAACACATATACTCCAATCATTTCTCGAAATTATGCTGCTGAGAAAAAAAATGGCCCGCAGGTTGACAAAAAGTTATTCGTCCTTTTGTGGCCGCGCGCGGTGTCAGCTCTCGCTCCGAACCGTGTACGCTGTACGCGCTTGTGACGCGACGTCTTACGGTGGTCTGGAACCTGCGGGCCATTTTTTTTCTCAGCAGCATAATTTCGAAAAATGATTGGAGTATATGTGTTTTTTTTTTCGAGTCGATAGCTGGCGCAGAAGCCAATTATTTCCGAATTTGTTATAAAAAAAACAAAAAAAAATCGACCTAAATGAAAATTGTACAATTGAAAAAAATAACAAAGAATCTATGTCAAAACAAGATTCCAACGCTAGTTAAATCGTTGGAATCGGATAATTAGTTTAGCCATAATGATTTTTTTTTATTTTTTAATTACTAAAAACTTTTACTTTTAATATCAGGAATATGTCAATTGAAATTTTTTTTTTTACAAAATCCTTTAGGATTTGTGTTAGTGATGTAAAATACTATCGAAAAAATGTATCTACAATCAAAAACTAATTTTGACCTAATTCAGGTGGCCCGTTTGAGAAATTCTGACCCTTATATAATATTATTTTTCTATTATTCTGAAATAATTTACTTTTTACTTCAGGTGAATACCCAATAAGTTAAGTAGCCACGAGTCTATTTATATTTAAGCCTGGTACACTACAGCATCCAGGGGCAACCAAGCGCATTAGAGCACCCAGGTGTGGCGAATCCGTGTATAGTTTAATTCCAAGGTCAAATCTATTTAACAACGGTTTCCAGATATTCATTATGTCCACTAAAGGCTTACTAAAGCATTTAGGGTTCTGGTGCCAAATTGCATGGTCAGCTACCTTCGATTTATTGGTCTCTTTTTTTGCGTGTTGTTCCTTGATTCTTATGTCTTGCCGATATAGGACCGGCCTGACTATCTGGTATGTTGGTTTTATCTTCATTAGGTGGCTTCTTAACATGTCTCTTGGGCTGAATTATACAGTTTTGAAGTTGCATTGTCATTCTATTTTTCTTATTTTCTTCGAAATTTCTTTGACGTATGGAATTTTGAGCGTAGGATGAGGTTCTTTGTCTTCTTTGCGTGGGTTCAACCGATTTCTTTAGCTATATAGTATTTTGTCAACTAATTTTATGGGGTAGCCATTTCCGTTCAGGTCTCTTTAAAAACGCTTTTTTTCTTCTTTGAGGGTTTCTTCAGAGTGGCAGATGGAAATTGCTCTATCTATGAGGGTTCTTACTATCCGATTGTTTAAATAAACTGCGCACCACTCAATGTGTCGCGACCAAAAAGTTCGTCCTTTTGCAAAACGACATATCTTTTTTGTTTCTTGAACGATTTTATTTTGGTCTGTGATGTCTGCTAACCCCATCCTCTGACAATTCATGCTATAGATATTAAGCACACGGTTCTTCAAGTAAATTTCCTACAGGGTGATATGTAAAACGGTGAAAAATTTCAATAACTTCATCCAAGCCCCGTTTGTAAAACAATATTTTTTTTTCGTTTTTACTTTGAAATAATGAAGTATTATGTGTTACCTTAAAACGTTTTTCAAATTTTTCGAATTGGAATCTTAGCAACAAAAATGTGATTTTTTTTCCAAAAGAGTACATTTAGGGCTTTTTGGTAGGCAATATACTCAGTCTTTTTAAGAACAACAAAATAAGATGGTAAAAGATTGTTCCTTGAATAATTCTGAACAAGCGACAAGCAACAAACTTCCATTATTTTCAGAGGGGTCTAAGCAAAGACCACTTTTTCAAAATGACATTTTGATGAAAATTTGCGAAAACTAAACCTGAACAGATATTTACGTTCGTGACATGTTTTCTTTATAATTTTGACCTCCTGTTTGTGATTCAGTTGTCAAATTTAAGTTTCAGATAAAACAAAAATCATCAAGAATCAAAATTCGGAAACAATTCTCTGTTGTTAAAGGTCTTAATAAAATCCGATTGCTGTCGTGTTTCTTGCATTTTTATGATGAAAATGCCATTTGGGGATTCATTTTTTGTTCGAAATTACTGAAATTTGTTTGAGTGGTTAGGATAATGTTACATAACTTACATTTACATTGCGCAGTAGTGATAACATCATTGATAAGTACCTACCTAATTGGTAATAATGTTAAATAAAAATATTTTTGTTCATTTTTGAAAATTGTATGCTTGGATATAATCATAATCAAAACTTCAACATTCAACAGAAAAATGTAACAAACAATAACAATTAATAATACCTTTCAATATTTTGTTGGCCCTCCCCTAAGCCGTAATAATTCGTTCCCTCGACCAAGTTCCTTAGAAATTTCTGGGGTACCCCATTCTTCCTGAATAGCATTTACCAATTCATCCAAATTTTCCATGCCTCCTTCCCTCTCTTTCATCTTCAATTTTATCCTGCTACACACATGCTCAATAGGATTCATATCCGGAGACAAAGGTGGCCAATTCATTTTCTCAATATGGTGGTCCCTTAAATACTCATTTACGATATGTAAAAAAACAGTAAAAACCAGTAATCGGATTTAATTGACACATTTAACAGCCGGGAATTGTTTTCGAATCTTGATTCTTAGTGATTTTGGTTTTATCTGAAACTTAAATTTGACAACTAAATTACAATCAGGAGGTCAAAATTATTAAGAAAACATATTACGAAAGTAAATATGGGTTTATGTTTAGTTTTTGCAAACTTTCACAAAAATGTCATTTTCAAAAAGTGGTCTTAGCTTAGGCCCTCTGAAAATAATGGAAGTTTGCTGCTTGTCGCTTGTTCAGAATTATTTAAGGAACAATCTTTTACCATCTTATCTTCTTGTTCCTAAAAAGACTGAGTGTATTGCCTAAAAAAAGCCTTAAATGTACTCTTTTGAAAAAAAAATCATATTTTCGTTGCTAAGATTCCAATTCGAAAAATTTGAAAAGCGTTTCAAGGTAACACATAATACTTCATTATTTCAAAGTAAAAACGAAAAAAAAATTATTTTTTTACAAACGGGGCTTGGATAAAGTTATTGAAATTTTTCACCCTGTAGGAAATTTACTTGACCAACCGTAAGCTTCATATCTATAGCATAAATTACCAGAGGATGAGGCTAGCAGACATCACAAACCAAAATAAAATCGTTCAAGAAACAAAAAAGTTATGTCGTTTTGAAAAAGAACGAACTTTTTGGTCGCGACACATTGAGTGGTGCGCAGTTTAGTTCGAAAAGTAACTGAGATATTGTTCTGTATGCGTAGGTTTCCTGTATACTGATGTCTAAATGGCGTTATTTTTCTTAAAGCGCACGTCTAGAAAGTTGTACTCGATGTTGTATTTCTCTTTCTCCATGGTGAATCTGATTGTGTTTCTTTTTTCAAAAAATAAACTTTTCCCCTGAAGTCTTCAAGTATTAAAAACTATTAAATGTTTGTAAAAAATGTAAAATAAGGGTAAATAATAAAAGAAATTTGATGGTTATAATAATTAATCCAAAATTAAAAGAAGCCTTACAGTAAAATTTTTCGTTGTGGGTCGGTGTAATTGTCCCCCGACAACCAAAATGTCTATCCTCCCTGTTTCTAGCAACTTTGTAATCCTATAATGCGTGAAAAAAACTACGAATTCCTTGAAGCATTCTAGGAGGATTTTCTCTTTACCAATTTTTGAAAAGCATAAAACTAAGCAAGCACTTTTTTGCCTTAAGCCAATCAATCAGATTGCGCCATTTTCATTCTTCTTGTTAAGATTATTCCACCAAAATTTTTCGAAAATAGTATTAATTAATAATAAATAAATAAATAATATTAAATTCAGATTAAATGTTAATTAAAATTCTATAAATTAAATGGACAAATCAGTGTTTTAAATTTCCGAAAAAATTGAGCCGGCGGTAATAAATCGATTTTTTGTTCGAAAAAATAAAATTGACTTCTGCATTTTTCCGTATTATCCGTGGTACGAATTGGAAATTTTTTAAAATTTTCCGAATTTTTAGAAAATTTAATTTAAAAAAATTGATTTTGTTCTCGTATTACGTACAAATTGTACAATACGGACTAGGGGTCCCGGGATCCCGTAAAAACATACCGAAAATCCCAGGATATAAAGTCCCAATCCCGGGATCTTCGTAATAAGTTACAAAGAATAAAATATACTTTTTAATATTAATGCGATATAGCATTAATTTTTAATTACCTATTTTATTATTTGCCGAATAATGCGGCACAACAGTGGATATATCTAATAGTTTTGGCAATTTAGCCCTAAAATAAAAGGTTTATAAATATTTTTATATTACATATCCTTTTTTATACAAGTACCAAAAAGGTAGCTAAAAATTATAAATAAGAAAGTTAAAATAGTTCAGAAAACACTGTACATTAATGTATGTAATGAATTTAAAATGCAAAATATGGTTTTTAAAGTCTCACGTTGCATGGGTGGCTACCTAGAAATTAAACATGAATTTTAAAAACTTCTTAGATTAAATAAAAACGACAAGGTTTTTATCGCAGAGATTATACGAGCAAAGGGAGGATTCTTCTGAAGCTTTACAGCCTTCATTGGAACTCATCAAAGCCCGATTGATGAAAGAAATGTAGTTATTTGTTAATGGGGGTAGACGTGGGTATAATCTAAAACGTGCCTACAAATTCCTTAAAACCATTTTTCCAATTAGTTTAAAGTCAAAAAGGTGTTGTTTGTTTATTTATTTTAAATTGGTTTTAAAATTAAAGATTTATATTTTTTTAGGACCGATCCCAGGATCCCGCTATTATTTAACTTGGTCCCAAAAGTCCCAGGATTGAAAAAATGGCTTGGGACTATAGATAATACGGAAAAAATGTACCCAAGTCAGTTTTTCTCAAAATTTACCAATTTTACCATTATAAATTCTAGTTGTGGGTATTTCCATTGTAACAGGTGCGACTCCAACACTGCGTCAAGATACGTTAATATACAAAAATAGTATAAAAAATTAGGTATTTAACTAAAAACTTTTATAACGTCATGAATCGCGTAACGTCCGAGACCTTAGAAAATCGGCAAATGCGACCAAGTTGGATTCTAAAGTTGATACTGTAAAATTTTGGATGAAAGCATGTAGTAAATTTTTTTTGTGCAAAACTTGAATAGTAACCTTAAACAAGTACGTATTTTAAATGCACAAATATTGTATACTTTATTTTCTAAAATGTTATCAAAATGTAAAGGGCGAGACATTTAAACATTTTATTGAGTATTGAAACTCTTGCATGTTTATTCTTAATGTTAGCTTCTTAGCATCTCAATGTTATAAATTACGTCGCAATTAAAATATTTCACTTCAAACAACTTTTTCCATAAAGCGAATTTTTCCAGACTGGAAAAAAACCGGAGTCAATTAATTCAATTAAAGACTTAAATCACTGAATGAATTCATGTCAACCCTAACACCATGTATTGGTAAAAGAAAATTAGTTTGACTGAAAGTAGTTACATTTTGTTTTTTAAGTGATTTACGCATTAATTTACACTATTGTAATCTTTTGTTATCAAGATGTTAGAAAAACAGTTCACATTATAGTCCATAGTCTATGGTCCACATATTAATAACAAAAAATCACTAATTTTGTTTTGGGAGGAGATTGGATTTTTACAATTATTTTTTAAACTGCAATGAAACCTACTTGAAAACTTGCACAGCTACAATAACAAGCCATTTTCCAGCTTTGCCCCATAACTTCATAGCAGATAACTCAAAAAACACCTCGGAATATTCAACAATTGTTAACCAGACCTTTATAGTATCCCCAGAAGATGGTAAATTTATGTGCTTTGCTTTATTTAATATACTATCATTAAAGAACACCAATAAGTTAGAAAGACAGTAAACCAGCTCAGATACAACATGAGAGTTATTAATTCTCCCTAAAACAACAATTAATAGTAAAAATTCATTATTAAATTATATAAATACCTGCTATAAAGTAGCTAAGCCACTTGGCTGTAATTTCGTAATCATTTAAATGCTGTGGATTTTTTACAACCCAAGCTTTGTAAGAATTAAATAAATCGGGTAATGAGAATAATATCGAAGACATTTTGAATTTAGCCACTTAATTAGATTCACAGGAAGCGTTTCATTTATAATTGAACTTTATACATCATTAACAAGGGTGTTTCGTAATATTAATCGTGAATAATTTATAAAAGATAATTGATATCGAAAAGTTTGGTTAGGTAACTGTCAAAATATGCGTCCTGCAAACGTCAAAATATAAATATTTTTTTAATAATAGCCCTAAATAGCGAATATATATATAATAGTTTTTTAAGATTTTATATTATAAAAGCCTTATAATGCAATGAAAATGTTTAAAATCTTTGTTTTTTACTAAAAAAAATTAAAAGTAGTTCAAACAGACAAAACTAAACTTGACAACATCGAAATTAACCTTAAATTATTCAAAAAATGTTCTTTCGGTAGATATTGTCATATTATATTATTATATTATATGTTGCGGCTTTTGTTCGTAGTATTTGTTTATTATTAAAAATGAGAAACGTAGAAATTAAAGCCAGAGTTAAAAATATTGCAGATTTAGTAAGCAAAGCAGCTGAATTAAGTGGAACCAAAGCTGAAATTATAAAACAGCATGATACATTTTATAATGTTAACAATGGAAGGCTAAAATTTAGAAAATTTGAGGTAAAAAAACAATAATTATGCAGCTTATTCAAAAGATGGTAATGTGTCATGAAAAAGTTCAAAAAATTGCACTAACATTGTTATTTAACTTATTGAAAAAAAATAACTACCTGTAGAATCATTTTATTTTATTCCAAGACTTTTAACCTTAAGGCCGCATTATTCTACAGGTAAAGTTTTTTTTCAACAAGGTAAAGGTAAATTTTTCTTGAAATTGCAGTGTTTCTGCTCTTTTTGTAATATTTTTTGTGTTTACATACAAAAAACGCTAAAATATTAGAAAAAAGTGCCCTCTCATTGGCAGCCTGACAAATTAAATAGCTGCAATTTCGAGTCTGAAAAAATGGTAAAGGAAATTTGGGGTCAACCTTGGAAACAAATTATTGGAAAAAATAATTTTAGGGGCCTATTTTTCAGAACCTATTTTGGCATTTATGCATTTATATATATATATATATATATATATATATATATATATATATATATATATATATATAACCCAGCAGTATAATGAAAGAAATATATGAGGTTAATTAATCATAACTGCAAAGTATGCAACATTTGCCTCTATGACACGTTTGCTGGAATTCCCTTTTACAACTGGGACAGTATATCATTACATTAATGCATTTAGAATGTATTTTTATACCACTAGTATTTTTTTAAACCTTCGAGGGACACATGACCCAATAGTAATTTTTAAACACAAATTTCGAAAATAAAGTCATAGTGAAAGGGTAAGGCCACAAAAAAAAAATTAGTTTGATACAAACAATTTTTTGAGGTTTTTATTGTGGTCTGAGGTGCTGCGCTCTTTATGTTCTGTGATCTGTGGCGATTAATTAATTTGCAATTATTTCCTTAATAAAGCCAATATTAACAAAAATCGAGAGATAACTTTTGTTAAGACAAAATTATTTAATTTAATATTTTATACTTTTAGTGCGTTAAAACGTTTAATTTATTTTTGACTTTATACCCTTGTAATTGTAAGATTAAACATAAAAAACGTGGGGCGCGTGCAATAGATAATAGCGTTGATAGTACAAAAAAGGTTTGATTGTAATTTCCCATCAGATGAACCGTTTTTTTACAATCATGCCTTAAAAATTGGTATAGTTTTACAATTTCATCTTTTAACTTTGGAATTTTGTAATTCATGTTAAAATCAGTACTCGGAAAAAAACCGATAAATATTCTTATGGGAAATCAAATGCTCTACAAAAAAAGTCTTTTATCATTTTTGGCTAAATTCACTCCATCAAAAGTTATTCAAGGTTAAATTTGAAGTCAAAACGAAATTTTAACCTTGAATAACTTTTGATTATGTGAATTTAGCCAAAAATGTTGAGAGGCTTTTTTTGTAAGGCATTTGATTTCCCATATATGAATTACAAAATTTCAATTTAAAAGATCAAAATGTAAAACTATACCAATTTTTAAGGCATGATTTTAAGGAAACGGTTCATCTGACGGAAAATTTCACTTTGTAGAGCATTTAATTTTCTTAAAAAATATTTTCGAGTCAATTTTGTTACACTCAATGGTTTGGGAGTTCTGTGACAAAAACTTGCTAAGGAAAATAAAATTAAAATTGCGATGATAGACCTTTTAATATTAATATTATGGACTCAAACTTTCACCATAATTTTTTTTGTCACCTCAAACAATATTTTCGATATACTTTACCAAAAAAAATAGTCGATTTTTTTGGCCCAGTCTAGTATATAGTTATAATATAGTTTTTATAATTATATAAATAATATAATTCTCAGCAATTAATAACAAAATAAAATAAATAAAAATCAACTCCTGTATAAATAACACTGTGCAGTTAAAAATTCCCTATTCCATTTTATTTTGATATGAGAAATCACGTGGTCATGTATGAGTATGATCATTTTGTAAAGTTGACTGATTTTTTGCTATTTTTTAAATTTGGATATTTTGGCCAATTTTGGTCGATATTTCACTAAAATGAGCTCAAGAAACCTATTTCATATTCTGAATGGCTACCGGTGGATTTTAAAAATTTGGAAATTTTCTTAAATTTTTAATGTAAAAATTACGACTTAAATGTCTCCTAGCTTTAAAACTGGTAATTTTTTATCACTGGCCAAGTGACACTGCACAGCAAACGGAAAAATATAGAACTGTATAGGATGACTCCGCGTTTGAATATTAAATCTTAAAGTTTTATCAGAACTGTATTGAATCGTGCTTTGTTTTTATATTTTGCGGCTCTAAACCTATGCACGACTATATTTAAAGTCAAACTCAATGGTGACTTACAAGATACATTATTTTGATTTTCTATATTCAACAGAGAGGTAGAAACTCGACCCTGTCGAATGGTGCAGTCATTGATGTCTCTAGAAATTATTAAAAAAGGGTTCAGTCCAATGGTGCAGCAACTTCGGATTCCTATTCTCTTCAGAGACATAGAAACTCAAGCTTTTCGAATTTTACTGGCAATGATTTTCGTTAATGTCCCCGAGAATTATACAAAAACAGCGCAATGCAATATCGCAACGGTTTCGACTTCTCTTTACTCTACCAAGTTATAGAAACTGGAGTCTCTCTAATACTGTTTTAGTCAATATTTCTGAGAGTATAAAAAGAGGGTGTAATATTGCAAGAAGTTTCGATCTTTTGATGGATACAAGTAGTTTGAATTTTCTCATTTCTGCAAATGATTTTGTTGAAAATAGTTCCTTTGTCTGATTTTTATTTACCGTAACAACTCAGGTATGTAAAGCACAGAGGATATGATGTTAAGTATATTTATGTATTATATAAAGTACCTATATTTGTATTAAAAATTTCAGAGGTTATGTTAAAAAAATGATCGATATGCTATTAAACTTTAATAATTTAGTAATGAGGTCTGTTGGTAGACCCTGCACTATCTCCACTGGTATATGTTAGTACAGCAATATATAAATCTGGTTGATGAAAAAGTACACACCAGTGCAGGTTATTGTAGCATCTACGAACAAATGAATTAATGGCCCATTGGCAATTATTCCTTTAGGAAAAATATTCAACACAGCTTAATTAATTAAAAAAATAAAAAAAATCACAATCATGTCGTATATAGTTTTTTTTAAGCATAAAATAATTTTTATATTAATACTAGTTCAAAAGTGAAATTACGACCTCTATACTGTGGAGATTATTGAAATGCTCGACTGACGAATACAAATCTATACCGTGGGGAGATTTAGAAAACTATGTTCAAACGTGGCGTCATCCTATACACTTCTATAATTTTCCGTTTTGCTGTGTGGGTCATGTTCTACAATATACATATGTAAAATTAGCTAAATCCACCGGGAGCTATTTCCCATAGGATTAGTGCAGGGTCCTTTCACCTAAATAAAAAAGGGAAAACATATTATATTTAAAAATTAAAAAAAAAAAAAAATAGCTGGTTTCATGGGTACATTTTTGAAAAAAAAACGACTTTGTCACATTGGGCTTAGGCTATTCACGTTAAAAAAATGGTCAAAAAACCAATCAACTTTACAAAATACGTATGACCACGTGATTTCTCAAACCAGTGGAAAAAAGGTTCAAAAACTACCACAAATACCAATTGCTAATTTTGCCAGGTTCAAAGTGAATTTCGTCAATAAAATTTAAAATTTTATAAAAAATTAAAAAGAAAACGTCTGTCCAATGGATTCTCCTAGGATAAATCGGCACTGGCATAGAGTATAGCCACTCTCTACAATCCTTACTAATAATCACGGTTTGTAAAGGCTGTTTTTTTTTTAGAGGCGGAGAACTTTAAATTAAAATAAAACACAACAAAATGTTTTTAATATTCATGAAATTGGCTTTATTTGAAAGATAATTTTTGGCATTAATGTTTGAATATTATTTCGGGCATGTGGCCGCCGCGGCTGGCGCGTACAGGCGCTATCTAGAGGTCCAATTTTCATACACTCTTTGCAGTAAATTAGGCTGAATTTCGGCTATAACGCGTCGAATGATGGCTTCCAAGTGCTCAATTGTTTCTGGTTTATCGGCGTATACATGCGAATTTACATATCCCCAAAGAAAATAATCTAATGGCGTCAAATGGTTTAACAAGTCTAGTTGTTGAGCACGATGACGAATTGACACATTTGGATCATTATCAACACTACGCTGCACACCGGCAATCGCGTGTGTACGACTAGAGATGTGTCGGTCAGATCTGAACCGGCTCAGTGAACCGGGTCTTATAAGTGATCTACGTGAACCGGTTCACGAAAATTAAACGAACCGGCTCACGGGTCCGAAATTACAAAGCGGCCGCGCGCAAGCCGTTCTAAGCTCCGATTTACTGCTTCACCACTCGCAGCGAGTGACTCGCTATGCATTGAACAGCACAGCAAACGGAAAATTATAGAGGTGTATAGGATGACGCCACGTTTGAATATCGATTTCTAAATCTCCCTACGGTATAGAGTGGTATTCGTCAGTCGAGCGTTTCAATACTCTCCACAGTATAGAGGTCGTAATTTCACTTTTGAACTAGTTTTAATATAAAAATTATTTTATGCTTAAAAAAACTATATACGACATGATTGTGATTTTTTTCATTTTATTAATTAATTAAGCTGTGTTGAATATTTTTCCTAAAGGAATAATTGCCAATGGGCCATTAATTCATTTGTTCGTAGATGCTACAATAACCTGCACTGGTGTGTACTTTTTCATCAACCAGATTTAAATATTACAAAACTATACCAGTAGAGATAGTGCAGGGTCTACCAACAGACCTAATTACTAAATTATTAAAGTTTAATAGCATATCGATCATTTTTCAACATAACCTCTTAAATTTTTAATACAAATATAGGTACTTTATATAATACATAAATATACTTAACATCATATCCTCTGTGCTTTACATACCTGAGTTGTTACGGTAAATAAAAATCAGACAAAGGAACCAAAGAAAGGAACTATTTTCAACAAAATCATATGGAGAAATGAGAAAATTCATCCATCAAAAGATCAAAACTTCTTGCAATATTAGAGAGACTCCAGTTTCTATAACTTGGTAGAGTAAAGAGAAGTCGAAACCGTTGCGATATTGCATTGCGCTGTTTTTGTATAATTCTCGGGGACATTAACGAAAATCATTGCCAGTAAAATTCGAAAAGCTTGAGTTTCTATGTCTCTGAGGAGAATAGGAATCCGAAGTTGCTGCACCATTGGACTGAACCCTTTTTTAATAATTTCTAGAGACATATATGACTGCACCATTCGACAGGGTCGAGTTTCTACTCCTCTGTTGAATATAGAAAATCAAAATAATGTATCTTGTAAGACACCATTGAGTTTGACTTTAAATATAGTTGTGCATAGGTATAGAGCCGAAAAATATAAAAACAAAGCACGATTCAATACAGTTATGATAAAACTTTAAGATTTGATATTCAAACGCGGAGTCATCCTATACACTAGACTGGGCCAAAAAAATGGACTATTTTTTTTTTTGAAAAATATAACGAGAATGTCATTCAGAATGACAAAAAAAATATTTCGTGAAAATTTGAGCCCTTAATATTAATTTTAAGAGGTCTATCATCGCTATTTTTGATTTTTAGTCATAATTTGATGTTTTACGTTAGAACTGTCAAAACATTAAAGTGATAAAAATTCCTTTTCACTTATTTTTATATAAAATTAAATTCTCTACAAAAAAGGTCTGATTGAAAATTTTCGTCAGACGAGCCGTTTCCGAGTAATTGAGCTTAATAAATCGATGTGTTTTTTCGATTTGCCCTTTTTACTTAGAAATTTTGTAACTAATGAATCAATGAATATTTTAAAAGCTCACGTCGGATTCTTAAAGGAAATTTAGTGTTCTACAAAAAAGGTCTCCTAACATATTTGCCTAAATTTAATCCTTCAAAAGTTATTCACGAAGAAAAAATTGAAATTTTAAGTTTTTCTTCGATTTTAATCGTGAATAACTTTTGAAGAATTAAATTTAGGCAAAAATGTTAAGAGACCTTTTTTGTAGAACAATAAATTTCCTTTAAGAATCCGACGTGAGCTTTTAAAATATTCATTGATTCATTAGTTACAAAATTTCAAAGCAAAAAGGGCAAATCGAAAAAACACATCGATTTATTAAGCTCAATTACTCGGAAACGGCTCGTCTGACGAAAATGTTCAATCAGACCTTTTTTGTAGAGAATTTAATTTTATATAAAAATAAGTGAAAAGGAATTTTTTTCACTTTAATGTTTTAAGAGTTCTAACGTAAAACATAAAATTATGACTAAAAATCAAAAATAGCGATGATAGACCTCTTAAAATTAATATTAGGGGCTCAAATTTTCACGAAATTTTTTATTTGTCATTCTGAATGACATTCTCGATATATTTTTCAAAAAAAAAAATAGTCAATTTTTTTGGCCCAGTCTACTATACACTTCTATAATTTTTCGTTTGCTGTGAGGCCGCGCATGGCGAGCCGCTCGAGCCGTGAGCGGCGGGTCGCGAGATATCTGAACCGGCTCCCTGGAGCTAAGAACGACTCGCGCTCGCAGTACGTTTTGTTTTCTGTGATCCAGATCTGACCAAAACATCTCGATTCTTTAGGCGCGGCTCGATCATGACTGTTGTATCATGCAGCTCGCTAGTGCCTATGCCGGTCGCATCGTTCGGAACCGAACTTCTTGCGTTCTGTGGCGCGTTACTACGTTAGGCAAATTTATACTTTTGGTACTTTTTACAAACCCACAGAAATATGAGATGATTTCCCTTATGACAATGTCGTTTAAAATATATTTTTAATATTAATTAATTTAAATTGTGTAAACTTACAACATTTATGTTTTAAATATAACTTTTCATGTAAAATATTAAAATAATAAAGTTTTTATTGTTTTATAAAATTTTAATAAAATAAATAGTATGGTATAACAAAACTTTAATAAAATACAATGTAATATTTAATAGCCTTTATAATATTATTAAAATAACAATTTGTATTGCCTTATAATTTAATAAAGGCTCTTAAGTATTAAAGTGATAAACATTTTTAACATAAACTTAAAGTTTATGTGCTCAGAATGATTTCATTAAGTGTTATGTTTAATTAGTTTGAGATTCAAATGGTTCTTTTGAACCGGTTCGTTGAACCGGTTCACTTATGTGATCCAGATCTAGTGATCCGGTTCAAAAGAGTGACCCGGAACGCCCATCACTATGTACGACGTCTTACGGGATGCGTATTATTGTTAGTAAAGGAATTGCAAAAACGATTCATAGTGTATTGAATTATTTGGTTTGAAGGACGATTATGAGCACCATAAAACTCACGAAATGCCCGGTGTGTTTCCCCAATTACACCGTTTTTTTTTTCAAAATAAATATGACCATTTTGCAAACGTTGTTTCGGCACGAGTCTATTCATGATGAATTGCCCAACCAACCTAACTTCAAAACAACCGAGAATTGCGAATTTTGCCGCAAACCCGACATTTTTGATAAATTGTTTGTCTTTTTGTTTAATTGATGCAAAAATTGATATTTACCTGTTTTGACACTTAATACAAAATACAGAGTATGCTATGGACGTCAGCAGTTGACGTTTTAAACCAACACAAAAAGTATATTGTTCAACAATTGAGAAAGTTGGCTATTTCCTTTAGGATGAAATATTGCGATAAGAGCAGATAAGGCCATTTCTTAAGAGTTGAACACTATACGTTTTCCAATTTTATTAAAGATTTTAGTGCAATTTTGTTAATTTATTTTAATTAAAAGAATGAACCACAGAATAATGGTCATACCCAGATAGCAAACGTGAATACGAAATCACGCGTGAGTGAATAATGTGTGCTATATGATTTCACACGTGAAGTCTTGAACTCGTAATTCACACGTGAGTAGATTATGAATTCATATTATAGTCTCGTGTGATTTAATCGATTTTATTTTAAAATACATGGATTGCATGATTAAAAACTGCACGTTTAAATATAAATAGAATATTAATATTCTAATATCAAAACATTACCTGACGCGCGAATTTTGGAATTATTATTTTAGTAACATTTTTAAAATTCGCACAGCTCCATTGCGCAATTATATAATATATTAAGTTATAAGTAGTTATATTATATAATTATATATTATAATATATTATTATAATTATATATATTATAGTAATATATATAATTACATAATATATATTGGTTTAAGAGGTCACAATTATATGTTATAGGTACATTAATAATTAATATATGTATATTATATATTAATTAATTAATTAGTTAACCTTAAGGTTATAATTGTAATGTATAACCTATAATTGAGGAGCAATCAACCAAAACCAGATAAATCCATTTTGACTTCTTGAATGATTCATATTTCTTTTAGTCGGATAAATCAATTGGAAAAGTGAATTTCAAGATAAACTTATTATAATAATATACTTATATATTATATACTAATATTAATATTAATATATAATATAATAATTATTATATAATATTAATATTATGATCATATCATATTATGATAACAAGTTTAGCTTGAAATAGATATTTCCAATGGATTTATCTAAACAAAAGAAATAGGAACCATTCAAAAAGTCGAAATGGATTTATCTGGTTTAGTCTGATTGCTTCTCAATTATGGCCTTTTAAACCAAGTTTTTGTGTATTTTTTTTAAGATGTTAAAATAAATATTTCGACAGATTAAATTATTTTGAAAAATGAAATCCATATTCTAAAAGCGCATGCGCAAAAAATAAAAAGTTCACGGGTGATGGCAAATTGGGCATCAATTGAGGACTCATCTGTCGCGTTATATGAATTCACGCGTGAATTTAATTTTCACGCGTGAATTCGTAGTGAATTCATAGTGAATTCATTTTGCTATCTGGGTAGTAAAGATAAATACTACCGTCGAGAAAAGTATGCAACAAATTCTGACTTGAATACATACAGCATCGCATCCTTAAACTAAGTTTAAGAATTGATCGTATCTACCCTTCATTGGGATTTCCTCAAGCGTCTCTGTTAAAAAGATTTAATTTTCAGAGCTTGGAGGAACGCAGAATAAAAGCATCCTTGATGTTTTTGTTCAAACTTATAATAGTATATACTGGAGATGCCACGAATAGTTATTTGGCCGAATACCGAATATTCGGCGAGACTCTTGGCCTAAGCGCCGAATATTTGGCAGCCGAATATTGGGCAACACTCCGCGGGTTCAATTCGTTCAGTTCGGCCGAACGATTCTAAAAAACCATACTGCGAATGTGATAGGCAATCTGTGACTAAAATGCCCAAAAACCACAGAATAATTGTGTTCACAGTGGTTCATTGTACTGTAAATCTCATTATTTCAAAAGCACTACAAACAAGAAAACATAAAAAACGACCATTGACATTTTTTTGAGGTTATTTTTTTTGGAAGAAAAGTGTAATATTATCGATTACAAAATGTGTACAGACAAACTCTCAAGAAAGTGAGTTAATAAAAACCCCATTTCAGTAAAATAAGTGTTTGTAATTAAACAGCATTGGAAATCAATGTTTTTGTTTCAAAATGATTATTGTTGGCCACATTTGTCAACCTAATTATCATAATTATCATAATCACCTGTAAATTACAATTTGGAGTATACTAAATTGTATTGGCATCCAGATCTGACCTATGTTTAAGGTTTAAAGTCTCTAGTTCATTGTTAGTTTACAAAATTTGTACAAACTCTCGGAAAAGTGAGTTGAAAAACTCAGGAGATTAAAAAAAAGTTAGGAACTTAAGTTAACATATTACCACAATTACATATAATAATGCACATATTTCTAACATCCTGTATTTTAGGATGGTCATGGAGAATTAATTTATTATGAAAGACCTGATGCAGAAGGGCCAAAGATGTGTTCTTATGATAAATCCTCAGTACCTGAAAGTAGTGTAAGTTCTTTAACAACAGTCCTTGAACGAGCTCTAGGCAAAAAAAGCATCGTCAAAAAAGTAAGGCAATTATTTTTGGTAGATAAAACTAGAATACATATTGATTCCGTTGAAGACTTGGGAGATTTTATGGAACTTGAGGTACACAATAATTATAATATTTTATATTTTGTACATACAATAATTGTTTTAGGTTGTTTTAAGTCCCGAGCAGACCCCTGAAGAAGGAGAAAAAATTGCTCATGTTTTAATGGGGAAATTAGGTATTGACAAGAGTGATTTGATATCAGGAGCCTATACAGATTTGTTAAACAAATAAGTCTATTGTAAATTACATGTATATATTTTAGTTGGAATGGAAGTCTAATACAGTTAACAAATAAAATATTTACAATAATAATAATAATAATTATAATTGTATGCCCTAATACCCTCAACAATATACTTATAACAGTATGAATAACTTTTTATCTTTTGTCAGATCTTATTTTGGGTAATTTAATTACAACAAATATTACAATAGTTTAACATTAAAAAAACAATAAATATAAGATATAAATTTAAAACTATCACTTTTTAAATGATTTTTGATTTTGTAAAAAACTTAAGACCAAGTTTTATTTTGCGTTAATTATTTTATAATACAATGTTAGGTCGGATGTTGACTTCCAAATAAAGTGCTTTACTGTCCTTAGGTCCATTGAGGGGTCCAAAACCTTAAAAGTAAAGTCTTATTTAATAATAATAGGAGAACAATACACGCAGGGTGTACCAAAAGTCACGCACCACCTTAAAGATATAGAACCCCAGGAATACCAGAAAATAACACCTTTATTATTTAAAAAGATACAGGGGATATGTCTATGAGTGATACATATTTTCTTTAAATGGCAATATTGCCTAGTAATTAAGTGGTAGTTTAATTCTTAATTATCATATCAACAAACAACATGTTTGTTATCATGATAATGGGGTTGGCACAAGTTTTGTATAGCATAATTGGAATCTACGCATACGGGTTTGTCATTATTTTGTTTACGTTGCTCCAAACAATTATTTAGAACGCTACAGTGTTTTGAAAACTGTAAGTTTTAAAACGCTTCGGTGACCTTAAAGAGAGATCGTGACATCACGATGTTATAACAGATGTGTCAATAATTACGAATTAATCTAACATCTGTTTCCAGCATGGTTTTTAGGTTAAGTTTAATATTCTTTGGAGTATTTAAATTGTTTAAACATCGAGGAAAATTACATACTGTAGGTGCAAATTTAAAATTTTAATAGTACATTAGACCATGCGGAGGCAGCTTTCGCCGCCGGGTTTTATATACTATTTTTTTTTTAATTTAATTAGTAATAAAACTATGATAGTTCGAATTACTAACATTGAGTACACCCACCTACATTTTAGGCTGCTGATTTCAAAAATACCACTCGTTTTGCTCGTCTTACTTTTCGACAATTATTTAAAATTGTTTTATTCACATCACGCCTAAAGTAACCAAAAATTCAACATCCAATCTTAAATTTATTAAATCTTATCATATCAGGTCAAAAATTGGCGCCTATTCATTGAAGAAATGCCTTCAGCTTTTCAAAGAATTTATGATAATTTGCCCAAATTTCTTAGAGTCAAATTAACAAACCACCAAGTTGAGTTAAAAGTCCGAAAAATGTCCTGCTCAATCAAACTTTAAGTGGTATTTGTTGAGAAAATTCCACGAGTAAATAAATTAAGTCATTTTTGTGTCACTTTTTCTATGCAATAATACATCCATTACTGTGAAAAAATTCGCCAATTTTGCATTTCTATTCCTTTTTATCCGTCAGCAAACCGTATTTTTGACAGTTTTTAATAGGTCTAAATTGACAGGATTTCAATTGGCGAAGATAATTTTCATACCAAAACTTAATTAATGCATTTTCATGTTTTGTCAAAGGATCCAATTCGGTAAGTACATTTATTGGTGCAGAATTAACTAATGATAACTTTACCTAATATAATTTATATTTAAGTTTGGACATTTTAAAGAAATTAGTAAAAAATAATTTTTGCACAAACATAACCTTAAAATCAACCATTTTTATATTTGAGTTCTCTAAAAAACGCCGACAACTGCAAACAACAAAATATACCAACGAATTCATGGCAACATAATATTATATATAATACATAATATAATGGTATTTTACCGTTGAGTGGATACTTTCTTAATCAACGCCTTTGATAATGCTAAATGCTGTTTAAATTTACACGACTTATTTGTTTGACGATTTTTACGTTATTACGTTATAGAGACTATATGCAATTTATTTCTTCATTCAGATTAACACTGTTTATTGGAAAACCGGTAAAAACTCAACCCAGGATTTCCTCTCGAAATACACCCAACAACACAACAAATCGAGCTACGGTTTTTTTTCGATATTTTTTAACATTTTCCGGCTTTATTCTCAAAAACACTCGTTTGTAACATAAGCGTTTGACAGCTGATTATTAAAAGTTATACTTTTGTTACGATGATAACAGCCGAGTGGTGGCGCTACTAGCGATACTTCTTTAGCGTATATCTCCTCCTCATAAAACAACTTTTTTAAAAAGATTATTTAGTTACAATATATACATTGAATATAATAAGTTACCCAAGGAATTAAAGCTTCTAAATGAAGTACAATTTAAAAGAAGGTGCAAATCAATGTTATTGCTTAGCCATTTGTGAAAAATATAGAGCAGGCTTTAAGGTCATTGAAGTGTTTTGAAACTTGCGGTTTTCAAAACGCTGTGGCATGTCACTACCCCATTAGGGTTCCCCCCGTCATTTTGTGTAAATTTACATTAATTACATAAATAACTCAAATCATTTGATTAACACAGAAAATTGTAAATTTGACGTTACTTAATTATTGTTAATTGTGTCATTTTTTTAATTAAAATGAACACAAAATGTTTGGAACCCCAATTAAAATACTCACTAAAGTATTACATACAAGTCAATCTAACAAAAATGTTATGACAGGATCTACTTTGAATTGAATTTAAAATTTCAATGTTTATGCTCTTTTTAAATTATCAAGGTAATTTTTTTAAACAATATTCTGGGATTCCTGGGGTCTGTACTACACTCTGTAGATCATAAACCTTCAAGGTGGTGCACGATTTTTGAGACATAAACAACAACAAACAATATTTGGGGATTTAGCTATTTAGCCTTAGGAAAAATTGTTGATACTCGATTCTTTCCAATATATTTTATAGCATTTGTGACGCGCTCCGCGAAAAGGGACCTAAGCGTTCGAAAACGATTTATGGATTATGATCGATTAATTATTATTTATTTATTTGAAATTAAAAATATTTTGCATGTAACAAGCGTTTAATTCTTCGTTTGTGCTGCCGTCTAGCGCGCTCGCCTTTTCTTTCATTTTTCCACAAAAATTACGGCTGGGACGCTAAGGTCCCTTTTCTCGGAACGCGTCATTTTTGACTAAAGTTTATAAAAATGCATTTCGTTAAAAAAAAGTTTATTATACTTTTTTATTTTATACGTTCTATTACATTTTTTACAAAACTTGTTATTTTTGCATTATACGTCCTTGTAGGTGGGGCAGTCACTTTGAAATCTTAAATAGGATAATTAGAATTTGCCTGAAACATTTTTTTTTTCGATTTATGATAGATGGGGCTGTAATCGAAGATTTTTTTAGCTGCAATATTATTTAAATGAGTTAAATACATTTTTATAGAGCAGTATGTGTTGCTAACTAATAATTTTATTACCACGATCGCGAAATTTAAAATGCGCTAGTTCCGGATTGGTGCAATGAAGAAAGGGTGCAGGCTATTTCCCAAATTTCTGGCCATGACCTAAATTAGAAATGCAACGGATAATTGTTTGGCTAGATACCGAAATCCGGCAAGATTCTAGGCCGTATATTCGACGGGACGTGAGTATTCGTGAGTGAATGAAAGTGAAAGGCAGTTGGAAAATGTCATTGGTTAAAAAACGATCGCCGATTTGGCAATATTTTGATTTTTCTTAATTTAAAATAAATGGTGTTTATAATTATTATACGCTCATTTAATACAGCATTAATGGGGTAGTTAAATTTTTTCTGACCTATACATTTTATGGTTTTATTCAAGGCGTTTTGTAATTTTAAACATTTCTGTGAAATCGGAATTTCAATTGAGTTTACCGTTTTCGAGATATTTACAAAAAAAATCTCCTAATTACGTCACTAGGCTATTGACAACGTTGCCAGCTTTTTCTATGGTTGCCAGTGTGTTTAGTTTAAGATTCTTACGATAGATGGCGCCACGTTATAATATTTTAGTTTTTAAACCACTTGATCTATAATTTTAGTTGAGAAGAAGAAGAAATGATTTTTTACGTTTCTTTTTTTCGGGTTATGTTTTTTTTAAATTTAGATTATTGAAAATCAATGTTATTGATATGTCATTTGTAATTGATATTAGATAAGTGATTTATTTATAACGGACTCCAAACCAGAGGAATCTTGTGGAATCGTTGGTTACATTGAACATTGGAGCTTTTAAACAAATAAAGTAAGTACCTATAATTATAATCATAATTTGTCGTAAATGCATTTCATTAGTATAATGCGTAGTTCTTTATATTCTTTTAGATATATCTTGGGCTCTAAAATATTAAACAGTACTATGATACCTCGTAATAAGGAAGATAGGTACTTAATGAATTTGGTGACCATGTTTCACTCAACTGACAGTGACAGTATTTGTACATAACCTCTTCGGGTATTTTCTGACATAACCGAATGAAATCATTAACAAGACAACTTGACAACATGGTAATTTTCAACCAATAGAAATCTTAGAATGTTGGTCACATGGCGAGGTTTGTGACGTCATAAAAATTTATATTTTTTGTAAATATCTCGAAAACGGTAAACTCAATTGAAATTCTGATTTCACAGAAATGTTTAATATTACAAAACGCCTTGAATAAAACCATAAAAAGTATAGGTCAGAAAAAATTTAACTACCCCATTAAGAAATACCCTGTATATAAAGACTTTAAACGAAAAAATTGAATAGTCAATAGAACTTGCAATACAAAGAAAAGTTTACATTAACTTGTATACTTTAAAGATTTGTTTTTGAGATACACTCTGTTAAAGTTAATAAAAAAAGTATGGTCACGCCACTGCTTTTTTATGAGTTTAATATCATAATTAGATTAAGCAATTAAAAATAAACTTTTTTGTTTTTTGCATTTTTTCTCACCCAGTTTACTCACAAAAAGGAATAGGGAACAGAAATTTTATTTTTAAATATCTCGTTGGAATGCCCCAGCACCGCCTCTGGATTAACTAAATTAAATTTAATTACATTAAATTAGGCCCTTTATCCATTACTAAAATTTTTTTTTAATAACGTTACCACCTTGGATCTCGAAAACTAACACAGTATGTTAAAAATACGTTTAAGACAAAAGTGCACACTAGACATTTTTTTTCATTTTTTATTTCTAGGAGGTCAACAGATCATTTTGAGCCCAAAATTAAAATAGGTTGTAGGTCATCCCTTCGAGGAAATTTAATTTGAATTTTTTTTTACATATGTTTGAATATTTATATATTTATAAACAACCCAAATTATAACATTCCCCAATAAATTATTATTTATTTTATTTTAGCAAAAATAATTTATCAGGGTTGTATTTCACAAAACTCATTTTAAGTAAAAATATAAAAGTTGATATTTTTTGCTATTAATTTTAAACTTGTTTTTAATTAACTAATATTTACGTTATAAAGTATACTTAAATAGGTTTTAATTTTACTAAAAGTTGTCTTAGCTTGAGTAAAACCAATCTTATGAGCTAATCTGGCCCTATTGAAAACATAACATTTAACTTAAACTTGACTTAAGGGAGACTAATCTAAGCCTAACTTAAACCTATATAATGAAGACTACGATTAACTAATTGTAATTTTAACATAAAACTAATAAAAACTAAACCAAAACTTATACAAACTAAGATAACTAACTATAAACTAATCTTAAATATGCAAACTATTGTTTAGTCTTACCAAAGTTTTAATTAGTTTTAATAAAATTTATTTTTATTGTAAATCCATTCTTTGCAAGTTAAAAAAACACGTATTTCAAACAAAAATTATTAACATCGATATTTTTTACTTTTGAGGAGACCCTGATAAATTAACTTTTTTATAAAAATATTTTTTTGAATTATTAGGATTTTACTAAAGTTTACTAAAGTTTTACTAAAGTTACCTATTTTAAATTAATTGGCTTCACCACAATAAAATATACTAAAATTTCTAGACCCCTATAGGGTAATTTTAAAAACTATTTTTCCTCAAATGGATGACCTAAGACCTATTTTAATTTTTGGCTTAAAATGATCGGTTGACCTCCTAGAAACATAAAATGAAAAAAAATTAGAGTGTTCTCACTTTTGGGTTATACGTATTTTCAACGTACCGTGCTAAGCTTTAAAACACAAGTTTATTTATATTAACGGTTTTTCTTGGTTTTGCGAGTTTTATCGCGTACTAAATTTTCCCGATTAAAATTAATATAAAGGGGCTCTGCTTTATCTAACTTACAAGTCACCTGGCGGGAAGGGGATTTATTTTAATGTATTTTCTTCTGAGGAATTATTGAATTTTTGTATTTTGTATTTTTTTTCCTAAAGTGCTTATTACTCGAGATAATTGATAATTGAATTATTTACTACCCCCTCTAAAAACTTGGCAAAACATGGTACTTGCACCCGCCAGAATCGCCCGGATTTTTTTCTATGTTTAAAAATATATCAATTTTTTAAAAAACATGTTGACAATTATTTTACATTTAAAAAAAATTGGGCGCCAACCCTGCCAGGTTATCATTTTCTTACTTTACTAGTATTATGCATTATTTAAAAAACTTTATACAAAAAAAAATTCTAACCAAGGGGCTATCGATCTGGGTCCTTAAGTGCAGAATTCTGCCCACTGTTTTATATTTTTAAAACATTTATTCTTTTACCCTGTTACCCATTATAAAAAAATATGAAAATTGTTAAGACCAACTAAATATGGTAAAATAAATTTAAATTTTTTATTTAATTAAATTAATTACATTTTTGGTATTTTTTTGGAAATTACCTAAAAAATGATTTTCAGGTTTTTATTGATTCTGGTAAAAAAATATTAAATTAAAAATATTGAAAATAGGTATTAAAATAGAAAAAATATAATTTACCTGGTCATTGCAGGTCAGTTCAATTTGGTCCACACTGTACCCATTATTTGTGGGGCTATTATCTGCATCTCCTCCACCAGGGGTACTGGCAGTGCCATCTCCCAACAATTTCTCTAAAACATGTTCTGCAACTTTTCTACACTGAATAAAATCATTAGCCACCAATCGATCAGGCTAAAACAAACAAAGTTAATATCTAACGGGCGTGTTTATGGTGTCAGAGACCTTTTTCATTCTGTCTTGCTTAAGTAAGTGAGAAGGAACACTTGAATGAGGTTGTAAGTAAAATTGCACTTTTATAAATTTATTCATGCAATTTTCTTCAATATTTGAAACCACCCAATTCGGCACTGTTTCGTTTAAAAGTGCGTTTTCCGTGTCCCCACTTGTATCGCCAACTAACACCCTGTATAATGTTCTGCCACCAACTTCACTAAAAATTGTCAAAAATTAATATTTAAAATATTAATATCCATTTCTTTTAACGCTTTTTGTGTTGAAAGAGACAATATATTTGGTGACATTTTTCGGTATTTTAAATGTTTTTTATTAATTGTCTTAATTATTTGTTATTTTTATATGTAATATTATTTATATTTAATTCCTACATAAATAAGCATATAAAAAATATTCAGATATTCTACAAATTTAAAAAGATAACTGTTCTTTCAAAGTAATTCAAGTTAATCATTAAAAAAAATAATTAATTTATTACCAAGTAAGTCTTACCTTAATATAAGTGGAATATGTTTTGGAACGCTAAAATACACTCGGTTTTCTGGATTGCTTTCCACCCCTCTCCAATGCTCGAAAAGAGCTTGCAAAAGAAGTTTACCGTAGTTTACTTTTTGTTCCGGCTGATCTGGAGTGTCACGTATGCCGGCATCTTTGGCAGGAACCCAAGCAGAAAAACAGTCAACCTCGTCTTGTCCCAAATGGATTGTTAGCATCTGTAAAACGTAAAAGTAAAGAAATACAAAAAGGTGTTCCGCATAAAGAACAATATGATTTTTGTTGATATATTAATTACTACAAGATTTTTACTCAGTCACGTTCGAGTTCTCGTATAGGTCGCATCTGGCTGTGCCGCGCTCTTAAAACTTACAAACAGCAAAGCTCGCAATGATTGCTACAAAGTTCAAATAGTCTGTAGTGTGGCAACTAGTGTGTGTAGTCCACCCTTAGGTCAGGGATGTGTTCAAGATAAGGTGTAGAGTGACACCTTACGGGTGGTCGACCGCGGTCTAGCCACGCATTTAGATGCTTTTCACGTGACAAACAGAAGAGGATAACCAAGGGAAGAAAGGCCAATTTGCAATTCTCGATAAGTAACCCTAAAATCTGCATGACCTAATATTAATTGCCACCATGACAGGTACCTTGGAAAACCCTAAATGAGGCACTTTTCGCTTAAACATGAGAAAAACTAACCAAAAAAAAAATAACAAAAAATAAAATAAACATAAGGCACCAGTAACATTAAGACAATAGTAACAAAACAACAACAAATAAAACAAAACCGCCCCAACTCTTAACTCGGACATAGGAAAGCTGACTAAGGCAATACATTTATCAATAACAAACGACAAAGACTAAACCCATAAATTAAAGAAAACGGCCCAACAAAAAACGTTAAACGAAACTATTCTAACAAACACTTCAAATCCAAACAAACATTCAATTAAGAAAACATAAACAGATAATACACAAAACGAATTTTAATGGAATTGGTAATTACATTAGTATACAGAGGAAGTCAAAAATACCTCCCACCGGTAACTGTCAAATCCACCAACTGTTTAATACAAAGTTAAGATTGCAACGCGAAAGAAAACAGCTGAGACAAGACAATAACAAGTGCAGGAACAACCCGACACGGACAGAGACAATAACGGTCAAGACGTTGACCACCACCAGTAAACTAGCCCCCTGCAGCGAACTAACAACTTCCAAACTCCAAACATTAATCCCAAATGTAAAAAAAAAACAACTGACACACTTTACTAAGTGCAGGAACTATCTGACCAGGACACGGACAATGACAATAACGAACAAGACGAAGACCTCGACTAGGAAACTACTCCAACTCCAAATAGTAATCCCAAATGTTTGGAGTAATACTAATCGACTGGTCTAGGGGGATTCCGCGTCGTACTTAGTTTTAATTGCGATTTGTCTTGAAAATTGTGCTTTAAGCATATGATACCTTAATTTGTATTCTGTAAAAATATTATATTCTCTATTAATTCGTATTTAAATTTTTTTTAAATTTTAAGTATAAATTGACTCTCAATTTTGAATATCTTATAAACAAATTAAATTATGTTTATGTTGCTTAAAATTCAACTGCCTTTTAAATAAGGTGTCATTTGCTATGTAATTAGATATGTGTCGGTCGGGTCAGTGAACCGGATCTTGGAACTGATCTTCGTGAACCAGTTCACGAAAATTAAACGAACCGACACACGCAGCAGAGCCGTTCAGAACGGCCCGTTCTATAAGATCCGGTTCACTGCAGTGAGTCTATTTAGATCTACCGCGGTTCTCTATCTATCTGAACCGGTTCACATTCGGGACCAAACGCAGTACGTTTTGTATTCTGTAATCTAGATATGACCGGTATATATAGTGTCTCGGCTCGCTGATGACTGTTGTATCATACGGCTCGCTAGTGCCTAGTGCGTAGTGTAGCGCTTTACTACGTTTGGCAGATTTATACTTTTTTGTAGATTTTTTACAAAGTTACAAAAATATGAGATGATTTCCCTTTATGTCAGTCTTATTTTATTTTAAACAAATATTAAAAAAATATATATCATGTATAAATAATAATAATAATAGTAGTACTGTTAGATCTAACGAACCGACTGCTAACACTCGCGAACCAATTGGGGATATCATTAATTGCACACTAAATTCCCAGCAACTACAAATCGGTTGCAGACAATCTGTCTCGCCAAAAAAACACTCCCGACTGGCACTTATCCAAAACGGCGGCGAGAAAAATTTTAGTGTAGGGCACTCCACAAATAGACTTATTTGCTTCGAAGTTATCAAAGGTGGTCCCAATTTATGTAACCAGGGACATTAAAGACACAGCGGCGTCATACAAAAATGCATTCAGTCGAAGATGGTCATTCCCATTGGCATGGATATTCCCTCCCCTTAAGGCCTTGCCTGATTCCACAAGTCCTAAACCACCTAAATCAAGCCAAAGAGATATACATCCTAATTGCTCCAAAATGGGAACGGGTGTTTTGGTAAGCAGATCTAATGTCTCGAGCAATGGCCCCTCCGATTCCTATTCATTACATCAACATCTAATGGATGCAACAACCAAACATCCGCTTCCAAAGGCACAGCTGTTAAATTTGGAGGCTTGGAGAATACGGGGTGGTCTAGTTTAGTAGAAAATTGAAATCAGAAAGATATTAACCTACTGCAAAACTCCCGGAGGACTTATACTCTGAAAACCTATTCGGCGCCCTGGAAGAAGTGGTTATCTTGGACATCCGAGACTAAAATTCCTCTTAATAGCCAATCACCTGAACAGATAGCTAAATACCTTGCCTTTTTATACAGGAAAAAACATTTAGCACCTTCCACTATAAAATTACACAAATCAAACCCTCTGGAAAGTGAAACAACCGCAAAAAATCCATTGATAAAACATCTAATTAAGGCTATCGAAATCTCAAAACTTACACCGAAAAAGAAAGTGATCTGGAACATAAGTACTCTAGTAGAATGAATGAAAAATGAATATATTGATAAGAACAGTATATTTCCAGACGAGTAGCTTTGATTTAGCCTCGGGTCGTAGGATTCACGACCTCACTATACTTAGTATCGACGTAAACTCTATAGAGAGTGATAACAACTCTATTACCTTTTGGCCAGAATATGGGTCAAAAACAACCTGGATAAATCGACTAATTTTAGTGTTCCAGGAAAATAATACGCGCGTCTAGGAGTATTATAGCAGGATGGATTAAATCTACTTTCAAGGATGCTGGAATCTCATTCTCTCCAGGAAGTATTCGATCAGCAGTGGCATCGGCCAGTTGGAATAACAATATTCCTCTGGACACCATTCTAAAAAATGGAAACTGGCGGGTTAGCCAAAATTTCTTTAAACATTATTATAAAAAGATAGATAAGTCTGATTCTTTAACTACACAATCAGAAATAGTTAATAACATTTGTATGGATATAATATCAGCTCACAGTACACATTCTTCGTCGTCAGAAACCAAACACTTCTCATTAGGGGGTCAAGCCGACGGCACTGAGCCGAAATAAACTCGTTTTTTCCCCAGAGTGGAAAAAAAAAACCGATTATTTCGGATCATACCTAAGGCTTGACCCCCCATTGGGTCCTTGACGACAATGTTCCTAATGATAAGGTATTGAAACCCGCTCACTGCCACCACCCAGCGGCAACCGACGGGACGCGCAGTGTTGCCAATGTGAGCGACAAAGACGAGGAATGACTTTAATTCTCAAGGAATTGAATGTTCGCACCATGGAACCTACACAAGGAGCCCGAACTTAATAGGGAAAATTGACAAAACCTGTCCACTAAATTGTACAAATTAAGTCTTTTTTTTTTCACCACCAGCCGCTGATTATCGATGCGTCCGTATGACGTGAAAATAGTATCGAAAATACATGTGAAGTAATCAAGTAAGTTTTGACAATTGATTTGCAATAATGTTTTGACGTATGAATCGTTTTGTTATTTATGGCTGTACCTGGTAGGTAGATGCTAATAAATAGGTTTTGGTTGTGAAATATAAGTGATTCTTTATAATCTGTGAAGTGATTTGACGACTCTGGAGAAGCAAAATTAGATTTCCAGGTTAGAAATACACCGCTATTTAATAATTTAAATTTAATTTAAATAAAAAAGTATGTATAAAATGAGTAAACAGCATATTTCATAATTTCCACCTTTATTTGTTTATATTGAACTTTTATTTAAGCCATATACCTATAAAACTAAAAATAAATACCATATGGATTTAATATTCTGTTAGTTTTACACGATTTAACATCACACGACATTCTTTTATAGAAAAAAACACGTATTTATAAAAAACTGTACTGTGCTCTACATCAGAAAGTCCAACATGAATTCCAATGTTAAATTTGATATAAATTTATTGTAAATTAAGACCTTTATACACAAAACCAGGTACATGGGTACATTGTTTTCAGAAAGCGATAAACTGACAGTTGCATAACCTCAATTATTTGCAGAATAATAAGTGGTAGGTAGTGGCGCCATCTCTGGTTATACCCCTCTACTGTTTTGGGCCGGTAGTACACCAGCGCCCTCTTATCTTAGGAAGATTCTTGTTTACATGAAGTTCGGGATCCTTGTGTAGGCTCCATGGTTCGCACCCACGAAAAACGTAGTGTAATCTTATTAGGGGGTCAAGCCTTAGTCATGATTCGAAATAATCGTTTTTTTTCACTCTGTGGAAAAACGAGTTTATTTTTAAAACCCAGCTCCATCGGACGAGTTTTTCTTATATTTTTTGTGTTAACAAAAGACGCTGATATTCTATCACAGGGAAAAAGTAAACATAAACAAGTCCAATAAAACCGAAAATATGTTATGGTATTTCTTTTGGAATTAAATTAATACGTGCACTTCTAGGCTTCCTAAAATAGCACTTACCCCTGTTTTTAGGTCAACATTAAACCAATTTGGCACATAAACCATTTTGTGTCTGTTTTTCACCTCATCCTGGAAGTTTAATTTACCAAGATCCTCAATTTTTCTGGCCTAAAAACGACATTAAAAAACGTTTTGTAAATAGTTATTTGTGGGCGCAAAGTAAAAATATTTTGCGCACAAAATATTTCCAAATATTATAAAAGATAATTTTTAATCCCATATTAAAATTAAGAAAAGCAAATTTATCAAGGGATAATGTAAGTTTAATACATTTGATTTCCTTCTTTTCTTTAAATAATTCTAGGGCAATGCGCATACACATGGCGTAATGACATCATAAAATGATATTTTGCTTATTGAACGAAATTTGAAAAATTAAGTATTTGTAACGGTCGTAAAAAAAGTTCTACCTACCCGAAGCACGTCATAAAGCGCGACATTTTCATTGGCATCCTTGGTGAGAATATGCCTCTTGTCATTTAAAACAACAGCCTGTCGAATTGCTGCTCCGCCTGCTATGACAGACATTGGAGTGCTCGGCATTTTTACTTCTTCTTTAAAATGCTTTTCTGTGGGAAGTTTCCAACATCTTATCGATGAATTTTCGGTTGAAACCTAAATTAAAAATGTTTTTTTAATAAAAAATTAAGCGATATTTAGGGCAAATCCTAAAAAAACTTTTCCAATATTTTTAAAACAGTGACAGATATATCCCAAAATGAGATTATTTTTTTTAAATATTTCTTTTTAAAAACGTAAAAACTACTTAAAATAACATAATTTTATCAATAAAACTATTTTGCTTTTTTGTAAATATCAAAAAAAACCTTAAAAAAAACTAAGGAAAATATTATATTTTCATTGGGAAACGGACATATTTTAAGTGCAGGTAGGAACCACCGAGAGGGTTCTAAAAAACCTACATTTGATGGGTCTATCGCCCTTTATTTCAGAAATACAGGGTGATTCATCAATTTTGCTCATTTCTTTAATTGCTCATAACTTTTAAACGGCTTCGTATTTTTTTCTCAAAATTGATATACGTATTAAGGGTTGCCTACCTAACAAGTAGGTATACTAAGTTGCAAAAAATTCCAGGTCCGGCTTGGCCAAAATTTTCCAAATTCTGTGTACCCTCAAAAATCACCCTGTACATTAGAATTTTGATTTTTTTTTCTTCCTCATCTTTCGACAGAAAAGTTTATCAACAAAATTTTACGTGTGAAAGAACAAGTTTGAACAAAAAAAGAGTGTGAGGTGTTGAGATGATCTGTTTTTGTAACTTTACCTACTGCAGAATGAAAATTTCTTACTTTTAATTTATCTAGGTTCATATCTAATTAAATTCTTGCTTTTCTATTTTATAGAAAATACGAATCCAAAAAGTACAGGGCCGTTCTTCAAGTAAAAAATAAATAAATTTTCAAACGTAGTTTAATAGGAACTTCAATATTTATTATTTTTTTAAATAACAGCTAACAAAAAATAACAACACAAAACAACAACTTTTAAAAAATAGATATTTTTAATTCAAAAAAACTTATAACAATTGCTCAAAATGACCGCCGTTTTGTTCGATTCATTTTCTTGCTCTTGGAGCAATTTGATTCACCGATTTTCGAAGAAACTATGGATTATTTTTTAGATTTTCGAAAGCATTTTCTATTCTGTTAATAAGTTGTCTCTATCCATGATATCTACGCAATACACATGTGATTTTAAATATCCCCAAACATGATAATCCACAGGGTTAGGACCACCCCTGCCTATCCACCTATGAGACATTCTTTTACAAATCGTACACCTATTTTGACTTCAGGGTTTGGATTCGCATGAAAATTTTTTTACCGCTTCTATTCAGTAAATAAGCAGATAAGTGTATCAGGTTTTCTGTAAAAAATTTGTTTTTTCAGAGATATGTTGATATAAAGTACATAAAACCCATTATCTCCGGTTCTACTGATCGGATCAATTTTGTTTTTTTTTTGTTTTAAACCTTATTGAATGGGCTTTTCAAATAAATAAATTAAATTTTTTTTTTAAGTAGTTTTTCATGTTTGCCCCCTCTATAAAATAAAAGGAAAAAAATACTATTTTATGCGCTTTTTCTTTATCTACAAAACACATTTTTCAGAACAGTGGAGACTCTTTTGGATCGGAAGATATTAAACATTTTCGAGCGCGTGACAGGACTGTCAAGTGCGTAATATTCAAACGTATTAGTCCATGTGGCGGGTGACGCAAGATACATACACCTTAAGATAGGATGGTGCGCATGTTGGGCGGGGCTTAATGACGTCACTTGATGAGTGTTTTTAAATCTTTAACCTGCTTTTTAATTATATACTGCTAAAATTCTTGTTTTTGCGATGCTTTTGGATGTTAACTTGCTCTACTTTTTGTTTAACTTGTCGTTTTTGTGTTCGGTAAGGTTCGAATTACTTTTCAGCGTTCAAATTATTGTTATATAACAGATAGCACAAGATAACCCACAGACGTCCTATTTAGGTAATTCTCGGCTTAGCCAGACCGAACGGGTCTGGGACATCCATAGAACGTCAAGTCTAGACCCTGTTCGGCTTAGCCTGATTAGGCGTATTTTGGACGTCCAAAGTAAGCCAAATAAGGCTTAGCCGGACCAGGTCTATAATTGACGTTCTATGGATGTCCCAGACCCGTTCGGCCTGGCTAAGTCGAGAATTACCTAGATTGGACGTTCCTGCTCACACAGCACAGGATGTCCAAATGACGTCCATTGGACATCCTTTGGACATCTTTTACTATGTGGGTGCACCCATGGGCTATCATGCCTAAACTTTTCGTTCAAGAAATTTCGGATATGTAATAAATTGTGGGTAATATTAAATATCATGTACAAATTATATAAACCACCTATTTTTATGAGGTTTCTCTTTTGCCTTCTTTGGATGTTCGTGGGACAGCCTGAGGGTGTCACAGAGAGTCAATCAAATCGATTAGCCTTATTATAAGAAAGATTAATTTACAAAAAAATTAAGTTTATTATTGAATATAGGTAGTTTATAATACATATTCGTACTATTCGTCGGGATTTATATATTTATATTTAATTTAAAATTTCTTGTTATCACGTAAAGGTAGTAAAATCCATTATTGCATCATTTTTAAATTCAATTAAATTCTATTACCATTGATTAATAAGTTCACTACTTCTTTACTCAACGCTATTACGTTTAAATGTATAAAAACACCGTTATTATAACGTATAGTTTTAAATTTTAAACATCGGTCTTCTTCGGGTAGAACCGAACGGGTTCGTGACGACGCTTCCCATAATCCGTTGCAATGGCGTTCTTTTGCTGTGTGATGGCGTTTATGGCGGTGTTTCTACATTGTGTGTTGTGATTTCTACTAGGTATTGGCTGTTTATAGACTTGTAATAGAATAAATTCAAGTAAGTAATTAGATTAGGTTTGTTTTGACTAATAGACTGTACCACACAAACAAAATTAACGGTTGCACTGATAATTGGGCGTAAACAAATCGTGAAAACAAGGATTTAAAAAAAATATTTTATAAAAACACATTTTTATTGTTTTTACTTTCCAAGGGATTTCTTTCTATACTTTCTAAATTTTATTTTATCCACCCAAAGCCCTACATCAAAATTTTACAACTACCAAACTACAAAGTGAGGTTATCATTTTTATTGTTATCTAGAAAAGCTTTTATTTATTTAATATCTAAAAAAGCTTTTATTCCTATTTAACCGTGAATTTTTTTTATGTGGTGCTCATGAGCTCATATACCGTTCCTTCATTTGCAAGCTATACATAGCCTATGTCATAGGGAAAATACATTGTAGGTGGACCAGACAAGTTGAAGTCAGCGCAAAGCAAGGAATGTCTGAATTTCGAATTTACCGGCAGTGGACGTCCAATGGATGTCATTTGGACACTGAGACGTCCAGGGGATATCCTTTGGACGTCCTCTGGACATTTGTGCTGTAATTATAATATAGGTGAATAAAAATGTTTGGTTAAAAATTTTAGGTGTTTTAGTTTTTATTCCTGTCAGCCAAATTATGGCCAAATTTGGTCCTAGGACAGTCTTTAATAGACCATTATAGGACGGCCAAAGGACAACCAAAAGTGTCTACTTTGGAAGTCCTACGGACGTCCATTCGTGGTCTTAGGATATCCGTAGGACGTCCACTATGTCCTGGGTTGACGTCCTAAGGATATCCAGTGGACGTATGTGTGCTATCTGGGATTGCGTTAGGTTAACCTGTTAGGTTTGTTTATTATTGTTTTTGTGTTCCGTTAACTTGTTTTGTTTGTGTTTTAGATTGTATAGTGCCATTTGCATTTATTAAAATGCGGTGTGGCATATTTGGATGCAATTCGGACAACCACTCCAAGAAAAACCCCTTAAATAAAAACATTAAATTTAATCGATTCCCGAAAAAGTTTGATTTGTGGAAACAGTGTTTAAATGCCACAAAAATAATAGACAATATTTACCTTAAGACCGCTTCTGTTTCCTATAAACATTTTCTGGACAGTGACTATAAGTTTAATTTAAAACACCAACGCTTAAACTACAGCCCTAAATGTTATCAAGGACTGAAAGCATTTATTATCCATATTATAACACTTTCTTCAATATTAAGTTTAATAAAAACGCACTATGTCCAGAAATTTCTCTATTTTCTTTGATAATATTCGTGTATTCGCACGGCAACTACTCATCAAGTGACGTCATGCGCGGGACGAACCAAAACTCGTACACGGGAGCATCCAGCCCTGCGGGTGACGTGATATTTTGTATAAGAGTGCCATGATTCGACATCTTTTAATTGGTGACTTATTTGTGCAAATGTCAATTCTGCCAGTTAATAAATTTACATTAATTGGAGTTTGTATTATTTAAAATTTAATTTATTTAAAATTATTGAAAACCTTTAAAATCAGAATTAATTTACAAAAAGCGCTGGTATTTTTTTAAAACGATGTATGAGTTTACACTATCCTAAATGTGTTAGCGTTTCGAAGATGTCTGATTAGGGAGTGTCCATTAATTACGTGAGTCAATTTTAGCAATTTTTTGACCCCCTCCCCCCTTGCTGAGATGTCGTGAGATTTGGCTCAACCCCCTCCCCCTATTCTCACGTGAGATTTTAAAAAATGCTTATTTTTAATGTTTATACGTTAAACTGCTTGATTCTGTTGGATTTATTAAAAAAACATACTTTGTTAAAAATTACATATTTGCCGAGACCCCCCCTCTCCCTTACGTGAGAATTGATGAGATTTGGCTTGGCCCCCTTCCTCCCCTAAACGCCTCACGTAATTAATGGATGCCCCCTTACGGCTTGTACCGGTCACGCGCTCGAAAATATTTAATATCTTCCGATCCAAAAAAGTCTCCATTTTTCTGAAAAATTCATTTTGTAGAGTAATAAATAGTGCATAGAACAGTATTTTTTTCATTTTTTTTCATAGAGGGGGCAAACACAAAAAATCTGTTTATAAAAAAAAAATTATTATATTTCATATAATAAACAAAACACAAACTTTTTAAATATTTATCTAAAAAGACTATGTAATATGGTTTAAAATAAAAAAAAATGAAATAGATCCGATCAGTAGAACCGGAGATAATGAATTTTAAGTACAAAAGAATTCAGCATTTTTTCAAATTTTATCAAAAGTTTAAATCAATATATCTTTGGAAAAATAAATTTTCTGCAAAAATTCCGATATAGAGGTCGGCTAAATTTATGAAAAGATGCTGTAAAAAAAATCATTTTAAAAATTTGAAAAAATATGTTTTCTGTAATCCGTACGATATGTAAAAGAATGTCTCCTATTTGGAAAATTGTCATTTAAGAAATCAGTGACAGTTTGCCTGAAATGGGGAGGTGCCCCATCATGCTGGAAGTACATTCTAGCAACATCTACACCAAGTCTAAATAAATATCTCCAGTAATTCCGGACCATACATTTACCGAAAATTTGCGCTTCTCGTGTAGCCCTTGGGTTTTCCCCTGCTGTATATGGTACGGATGAAGTCTATGGTTTTTTATACGTCGTCAATCTGTAGCGTGGGGTACATTTAGCGCATTGCTTACTCGTCTGGTACTAATTTGCGGATTGTGGGTAACCATGTTCAGGATATTATTTTCCTGATTTAGGTGGCGCCTTTCGTTGTGCTCATTTAATTTTACAGTGGGAAATGTCCCATGTTCTTTAAGGTATGCGAAAACTCTGGGAAATGTCTTTGAATCCAGAGTTCTTCGATTGCGAAATCTCCTTCCATATTCTTCTTTCGCCGCCCGTGCACTACCATTACAAAACCCGTATACAAAAATAATATCAGCATAATCTCGATGAGAATTTTGGATCTGCATTACTTAATACTTTTTAATTTTATTTCCAAAAGTATTAAAAATTAAATTTGTTTGAGTTTCTATGCAAAAAAAAACAAATGAAGGGCAACGTAGATAACATTTTAATTCCAGAGCATACTGCAATTATTTATCAGCAACAATGACTATTCGCCATTCGGTGATATTTTTGCTGAACTACTAAGCAAAGGTATTATTATGTTTTTTTTTATTTAGGTTTTGAGTAAAAAAAAAGTTTTGATTGTTAGGTATTTACTTTTTTTGTTATTTAAAAAATTAAAAAATATTGAAGTTCCTATTAAACTGTTTGAAAATTTATTTATTTTTTACTTGAAAGTACGGCCCTGTACTTTTTGGATTCGTATTTTCTGTAAAATAGAAAAAGAAAGAATTTAATTAGATATGAACCTAAAAAAATAGTAAGAAATTTTAATTCTGCAGTAGGTAAAGTTACAAAAACAGATCATCTCTACACCTAGCACTCTATTTTTGTTCAAACTTGTTCTTTCACATGTAAAATTTTGTTGATAAACTTTTCTGTCGAAAGATGAGTTGTACACAGAATTTGTAAAATTTTGGCCAAGCCGGACCTGGAATTTTTTGCAAGTTGGTATACTTACTTATTAGGTAGGGGGCCCTTAATCCGTACATCAATTTTGAGAAAAAAATACGAAGCCGTTTAAAAGTTATGAGCAATTTAAGAAATGAGCAAAATTGATGAATCACCCTGTATTTCAAATAAAGGGCGATAGACCCATCAAATGCGGGTTTTTTAGAACCCTCTCGGTGATCCCTACCTGCACTTAAAATATGTCAGTTTCCCAATGAAACACCCTGTATAATAAAAAATATAATAAAAAGATCGGAATAAAAAGAAAGAAGAAATATATATAAGAATATAATAAATTAGAGATTGTTCTTACCCAAACTGAAAGTTGGTCAGCCGTAAAACACATTTTTAAAATTGGCGCTTCCTCAACACAAACCACCACGTGATTTGGTACGTTTTTCAAATCCGTCATTATAATTTTTTTGTCTCTTCCGCCGGAAATGGCGTACGTAAAACTTTCAGTTGCTAGTAAAGCCCACACCGAGTCAGAATGGACCCTTATAGTCTGAATACACCTTAAATTTAATAAAAACAAGTCAGATTAATAATTATTAATAATAATTCCACAATGAATTGTGAATAAGGGGCCGTTCATTAATTACGTGAGGTGTTTAGGGGGGGAGGGGGTCGAGCCAAACCTCACCAAATCTCACGTGGGGGGGAGGGGGGCTCTCGGCAAATATCACGTAATTTTTTTTCCGAAAGAAAGAGTGTAAAATTGCGAGAAAACTGGGTTAAATTAAGTAAACAATTATAAGCAAATTGTTTTTTTTTAATAAATCTAATGGAATCAAGCACAGATTAACTTATTTACATTAAAACCATGCATTTAAAAAAATCTCACGTGAGATTAAGGGGGGGAGAGGGGGGTCGAGCAAAATCTCACGACATCTCACCAAGGGGAGGGGGGGGGTCGAAAAATCGCCAAAATTGTCTCACGTAATTAATGAACGGCCCCTTATTCATAATAATTCCATTTTATTTTACCGAGGAAAATCAAAAATGGCAAAAACGGAAAAAATGAACAGCTGTTTTACACATTTAGGTGCCGATATAATAATAATAATAATAATAAAAATTTAACTATTACTTTTAAAATTTAATTTTAGTCTTTTAGTAAAATAAATATAAAAATTATACAGGGTGTTTCATGATATATGCGCAGGACTTCAGGATGTGATAGCTCATCCAAAAATATGAAAAAGTCCCTATTAAATTACCCTCTAAAATGCACAATTTTCGAGATACAGGGTGTTGAAATTTTAGAAAAAAAAACCTTTTTTTCGAATATCTCCGGAACCGTTTATCGTACAAAATACAGCTTTTGTAAGCATTTCTACTCATAATAAGCTATGTTTTGTGCTCATAATCAGTGGAGATTTTAAAGGGGTAGCGGGTGTTTTTCTCCTAACTTCTACGCCCCTGAAAAAAAAACACGGTTTTGAGCCCATTTGAACCGCCAATGTTTTCTACACAAAAAAAGTACTCTTGGTCATAAGCTCTTAAGTTGACCGTTTTCGAGAAAAATCAACTTATATGTTTAAAAACATGATAAATTTTTTGAAAAAAATTTTTTTTTACAAATTATTAAACAAAATTTATTTTAACGTTAGAACAAGTAACAAAACCGAACAATAATTGCAAAATTAAAAAAAAAAATGCTGAAATGTGCGAAACCTTTACGGAATGGCGAGCGGTAATTTGTCAGTATCAAGAAAGACATCCTGGTCAACAAGTACTACACCATATCTTGTTTCAACGCATTCACCAACGACTATGGGAAGATGGAAGTTTTAAAAAGAATACTGCTGATAATGGGCGGCCTATGGAAGTTGCAAATCCCCAAGTAGAAGAGGCTGTCCTCAACGAAATTGAAGAAAATCCGAAGACAAGTACCAGAAAAATTGCTAACAACTTAAACCTATATCACTCGATTGAAATTTTGAAAAGACAACTTTTGTATCCCTACCAAGATTGGCTTTTTGTAGATGGATGCAAGACAAAATAGCTCAAAATCCTCAGTTTGGAGGCGAAGTTCTGTTTACCGATGAAGCATCTTTCTCGAGAGATGGTATTTTTAATTTTCACAATAACCACATATGGGCTGAAGAAAATCCACATGAAATTTGGCCATCATCAGCAGCAATTTTCCGTGAATGTTTGGGCTGGCATCGTCGATGATCATTTGATAGGCCGACATTTTTTACCGAATAGATTAAACGATGCAGATTATCGACAATTTCTTGAAGAAGTACTGCCGAAACTGCTGGAAGTTGTACCGCTTTGTGTAAGACAGAACATGTATTTTATGCATGATGGAGCTCCAGCCCACTTTAGTTTTGTTGCTCGCCAATACTTGGACGACACATACCAAGACCGTTGGATCGGTCGAGGAGGTCCGCACCCTTGGCCCCCGCGATCTCCCGAACTTAATAGTTTAGATTTTTTCTTTTGGGGGCATCTAAAAAACCTAGTCTAAGCTACTCCAGTTGAAAATGTTGACCAATTAAGAGAAAGCATTGTTGCATCTTGCGACATAATTCGGAACACTCCGGGAATTTTCCTGCGTGTTAGACAGTCAATGCGTCGAAGAATTGCTGCGTGTATTGAAGCTAACGGTGGACATTTCCAACATTTAATTTAACTTTTGAATCTTTTTAATTTTTTTTTTTAATTTTGCAATTATCGTTTGGTTTTGTTACTTGTTCTAACTTTAAAATAAATTTTGTTAAATTAGTAAAAAAAATGTTTTTCAAAAAATTGACCATGTTTTTAAACAAAAAGTTGATTTTTCTCGAAAACGGTCAACTTTAGAGCTTATGACCTTTATTGTGTAGAAGTTGGGGAGAAAAACACCCGCTACCCCTTCAAAATCTCCACCAATTGTGAGTAAAAAAATTATTTTTTTCTGACACAAAACAGCTTATTATGAGTAGAAAATGCTTACAAAAGCTGTTTTTTGTACGATAAACGGTTCCGGAGATATTCGAAAATTAAGGTAAGTTAATAGCGACTTTTTTATCTTTTTGGATGAGCTATCACATCCTGAAGTCCTGCGCATATATTATGAAACACCCTGTATTAAGCAATAAAAATGCAAAGTAAACAAACCAAGAAAAAAATTGTAGTCCTTTCAACTAACTGTTTTATTGTTACATATTGGTAATTGTAATTATCAATTTTTTTTTATAAATCTAGGATTTTTTTTATAAAAATATGATTTAATTCTGCAGACCAAGGCAAACTTTACTAGTTATATATATTTTTAACAAACGTGTTTTTAAAGTATGAGAAAACCTAAATGTTTTTATTATTTTAATACTTAATAGTACATTATAGACCAGGCGGAAAGCACATTTTATAACCGAGGCAGTAGATTGTGTGAGAGGCAATTATAAGCTTTCGCCGCGGTATTTTATAAACTATATTTTTTCAAGCATTTAAGTTGTATTCCGAAATTATTTTTTGATGTGAACCGAGATTTTGGTTCCCCTGAAATGTCTGTCAATTGTCAAAATTTTCCTGAAACTTGGTCGTTTGATTACTTAAAAAGCGACCGCACATTTTTAACGTTAACATTTTGGTTGCTGTCAATTTTTGAACTAAAATTAGGTTATGTCTGTCTGTAAACAAATAAATAAAAACCCCGATTTTGTTATAACAATTTATATTTAATATTTAACACATTGCGTGCCACGTGTATATTTGAAAAGTATCCTAGGGGGCCATGAGCCATGAGCCTAAAACCATGATGTCGCATATAAATCATCGAAAAAAAATAGTAATTTTCCGAATTTGCTTGAACAAAATATACCAAAATATACCAAAATGTTCGTGGCAGGCCACAAATTAATAACCCATAAGATAAAGCGTGTTGTCTGTCTTGCAAATATGACAGACGTGGCCCCTCAGGAAGTAGCACTGTCTGTCACATATGTCAGATGTGGCACGTAATGTGTTAATAGCTAATTGGACAAACAAGGAGGAAGCTTCCTACATTTTAAGTTATAATCTACACCCTAGGTTGTAGATTATAACTTAAAATGTACTTATGCATTTATATTAATACATTAAATATTTGGTTTTGTAGGAAGTTGTTTTCATTGCGATAAAAGTATAGTACCTATACTTAATATATTAAAACCATTGACAATTTTGATTATAATCCCTTAGCCTTGGAATAATTGCTAAAAATATAAATTTAATTTATTACGCATTGTTTAGTATTTTGTAGCTAAATGAAAATTATTATAAATATTTTAGTATTTTTTATCAGGAACCTCTTCATCTTCACTGTAACTATCGTCCCAGTTGATAATTATATAATTATAATATTATGTATAAAAAACACCCAAAGAAAAAGTTTGGTTAGAATAACCGACAGATCAGGGTTGGGTCAGTAGAAAACCTTAGGTAATTTACCTTGGTAGAAAAGGGTAGAAAACTTGTTTTCGACTTGCGTCGAAAACCTATAGGGTTTTCTACCTACGTAAATTACCTTATTCGACCTTCTCCTTCCACTTCTCTATAATTGATAAAAATTTGCCCTCATGCCAAAAATTATGTTGGGGTCTCCCAACCAAACGCGGCCCTTTTTTTCCCACCATAATAATGTTAAAAAACTCCAAATAACTTCAAATTTATGGTAGGTGTCTGATTTTTCACAACATTTAACAAATCATAATAAACAACAAACTTGCATAACCTCACATTTTTTGATATTTGACAGTATTCTACTTTTTTACGTTTTCTACCGTCGAAAACGTCGAAAAAGGTTTTCTACATGTCGAAAACAAAAATGTAGGTAGATACCCAACCCTGCGACAGATGACCGCTTTTTGACAGCATTCCAAAATTAGTTCGTTTGTATCAACCGCTAACCGACCAAAATCGCGGTGTCGGTCATCAAAAAATAATTTCGGAACATAACTTTAATTACAATATTTTTTTAAGATTCTGTCACATCATTTTTAGGTTAGGTTCAACTGACATGATGACATTTAATGTTTATTCTTGACTTTTGAACTAGTATTAATCATGATTCCTTGTACCCAGTGTTGCCAACCTCTTTGAATATTTTATCGGTAGATTCCTTGGAAATTTTCGGTAGATGATGGTAAAATTTCGGTAGATTTAAATATATGTGAAATTTTTAGTAAAAAAACACAGGGAAGAGAAAAATATTTATTAAAAATAAAAAAATATTAATGAAATCAATAACTTAATAATGTTAACATAAGTTGAATATTTATGAAGAGAAATTTAACAAAAAATAATAAATAAAAACACAAAAAAATTAATAATATACATAAATTTTGCACAAAGTTGAATGTTCTGTACTTCTGTGTTTATTGTATCATAAAAATTTGCGATAAGTACCGGCTATTGTTCAAATAATTTGGGTAAAAACAGTTTTTACCACAAAAATTGAAATCTGCAATACCGTCTTTGTACGCCTTTTGTACAAATAATGTTGGTAAAAACATTTTTAATCACATACTTGTGAATAATGTAT